CGGAAATAGGATATGACCTGAATCGATTTCTATAGCTGCTCGACAAATCACCTCTGGTTACTGGAAGCAACCTTATTTTTTATTGGGGGGTTAAGAGCTAAGGTGTGAGAAGGAAGAAGAATTTTCAAATTTCAATCCACAACTCCCACAATTTGGAAAGGGAAGATATCAGGAAGCAAAAGCTGAGGTAATAAAATAAAAATAGAAGTTCAAGGGGATAGCAAGGAATGAGAAATGAAATATCTATCACCCCTTGTTTCAATTTTTCGAATAAACACAGAAAAAATGTGCGAAGAATTTTATTATTCTGAACATTTATTTCACCTCAACGAAGTTGTGTTGTTGTAGCTCAAGCAGGAATTTATATCAAAGGAAGGAAATTTCCTCATTTTCCGGGTTTATGCTATCGACAACGCACATGCGTCGTGCACGGCAACAGTCGCTCTTTTTTCCCTTTACTGTTTTTTTTGTTTCAACAGCATAAAAATTATACCCCTGGTTGCCTAAACTACCGAAAAAAAAGTAAAGGAATATTAACAACAGCAGCAGAATCAACTAAATGCCAGGGCATAATAAATGATTTCATTTTCATTTCGCATCCCCCAAAAAATCTCATTTACATAACAAAAGCAAAAAGTAAAGTGATATCATATCACACTCTATCTTTTCGCCTCTTTTATTCCCCATTCATACTGTTCCTACATACTGTAAAAACATTTCATTATTTTATATCAACAATGCAACTTTGAAGATGCTGAATGAATGGAAATGCCCCCCACAAGATTTAATTTTTTATGCTTATGCTTAAGCCAAAAGGCAGCATTCAATTTTAGATTAAAACTTACTGGTTTACTGGTTGTTGATGTTGCTAGTTTTGCATTTGGGAGGGGAATATTGAGTAGTTTTTGCGATGCTGTTTGTCTTCCTATTTATGTAAATTTTGTGAATATATTTTTGTGGGTGAATTTCATTACACATTGAATTTTCATGGTTTTTCTATGATTAGAATATCAATTTTGTAAAGCTGAAAAATTTATTCATAATCAGTTAAATTAGATTAGATTTAGGATTGAACATTGACCTCTTTTATTCAATTATCTGATGCTGAATTTAAGGAACATAGCAGCTAGTAAAGGATGGAAGAAGTTCTATTGTATAATTTGTAAGAATATTCACCACATGGCATTAAATTAATGGTTTGTACCATCCAATGAACTTGCGACCCTAGTCACCAAAATGTCACACTCTTTATACTAAATTCGTCTATCCTTTGGGACCAGTTTCTACCCTAGAGGACTCCCAAGAGTATACATTAGGTTCTATGATAGTGCTTCTCTTACTTCCTTACTTACTTCGCTGGTCGGACAGATCAATTGTAATTCATGACCTCCCAAATATTATAAATGCGAACTATTTAGCACGTGTGATTTTGATGAACAATTCGCGACACATCTGAAGGTTATAGAGACTTTAAGTGTGCCCTAGAGCAAAGTTTAACAAGAACTGCTCTAAAGCTCACACTAGCCGTCCTTACCATGCACAACAGAGTACACCTCAGCTATAAAAATCAAGTCTAAGAATTTATCCTTGAAATGAGTCTCAGGAAAACCTAAATGTTACTTCCTTTAAGACTTTATTAAGCTTCTCCATGAATAAATCATTAAACCATTCAAAAATGCGCCTAAAATCACCCACTTCCATTTTATAGGTGACAAAAAAATTCATTTCCCTTTGTAATTCTAATGAACACATCTAAAATCCAACTGCTCTATTATTATTTGTAACAAATGAACTAACAGCGATAAGCAACTGCTGTTTTATGCAATCGATTCCAAGAGAGGAAGGTGGGTAAGTATGAAAGACTTTTCCATACAAAAAATAAATTTTTCCAATTTTCACAATGTCACTATAAAAACAGACACGGTATGAGGGGTCATGAGAGTGGAAGTGGATTTTTGATATTTCAACCCACACTCAATGCACATTTCAGTGCTATGCTGTGCTGTTTTGTGTCTCTATTCATTCGAAAAATTTGTTTTACGTTGTCAAAACAACCCAAAAATAATAAATTCTTGAAAATCCTTTCAGTAAATAAATGAGGGGTTGCTTGTTACTTATTTCCTCTGTGTTGCAATATTGTATAGCATTGAAGTGTGCTCTAGCCGCCCCTACTCTCCTTTATTGTAGTAAATTTCATCTATTGGCATTGTAAAACATAAGCAAGAGGAAAACTAGCATCAGCAGCAGAACCGATAGAGAATCTGATAGAGATGATTAAGTATATGGCAAAGAAGTAATCCTGAAAAAATTGAGACGTAATGCGTTCATTCGCACCCTCTGTTATGAATTGTTTACAAAGACCGCAAGGCACAAAGATATAGCAATTATAGGATTTACGTTAATTATTCACCGCACGATGAGATATGGCTTTAAGTAAAGAAGTAAATTTAGGAAAAATTAGAGATTGAGCATTGGCGAATAAATTGATAAATAATTGTTTAACAGCTATGATTGATCGGAATGGTTACCCCTTTCTATTATCTAAAATGAAGCTTAAAAGGCAGTGTTGGAACTTGGTTTATTGACTTAAACTGGGACACTAAGGCTTTGTTATTTACTATTTTGAATTCAAGTTGAAGATAAAGAGAAATCTAGATGTCTGAGCCCTCCGTTCTTTATTCCTGGTCCATGTTTTGCTTATTTTATGCTAGCTTTAAGCTAGCATGGCAAACAGTCAATAAAGTTTAACTGAAAACCTCTCAGCAGTATAGATCCATATTTGAGGCCAGGACCCTGCTACTAGCTCTACCTTTGGGACTTAAGTTAAAGAAACGATTTATTGATTGAAAACATAAACTTTATTTTTGATAGTTGATTCTGATGATAGCTCAAGAAGCAGACCACATTGATAGATTGCTTCTATCCACAAACATTTAGCTAAACAACCCTGCATCAAAGGATATGGCTTATGTACATTTACTATAAAGACATGCTCGTTTAACTTTAATGAATAATTCATTTATGTTTGTTTTTGCGGGGAATATAAAGACACAAAAATATTTTATTTCTCTATTCTTGCGGCACTCATCATTTCTATAAAATGATTCGAGTTTTTTAGTATTCGTCAATATTAGGGGAAGCAAGGCAGGCAGGAATTTTTCCGATGATGTACACAAAAATGAAATGAAATTTTAAACCTTCTCAAAATGGAACTAAATTATTGAATTTATATTTTAAAAGGATATAAAATTTGGGGTTCATTGAACCTCAGTCACATTTTATAATCTCTCCCCCTTTCAGTCAGCTATCATTTACTCGATTTATACCAAAACATACAGGAAAAAGGATGAAATGAGAAATTTCATTCAAATATTCAATGTTATTTTTTATTTATTTACGTTCAGAACAAAATTCTCATAATCATTAAATTAAATGATATAATTTATTCATGGATAATTTTCGTATGCGGTTATGACTGACTTCTGTTTTGATTATGCTTTGGTAAAATGGATTAAATTTTGAGATTGTTTTGCTGATTGTTGAGAGTGGATTTAAAATATTTTTGTGATTTTTATTGCTGTTGGAATTTTAAAGAATGATTTGCATGAAGAGACTTACTAGGGATTTGTTGCATTTTAAAAATATTTTCTAAGCTATGTTTTTGTAGGTACGGGGGGGGGTGGGCTATTAGGATTTTTCTTTACGTAACAAATAAACGACACTCAACCTCAACTAGACTACAATATAGACTCTAAAATTTAAAGCTCATTAAAAACCAACATTGGGAACACTGCAAAGGTTACAACCTCATTAATTAAAATCAGCAAGACTCTCAAAAATTAAACACAATTTAATAAATAATTCCCAATGATCATCAACGATTCTCTCGAATTTCATTCATATAATTAATTTACATTCATAATTGCCATAATCATTATTATTGTTGTTATTTGACATTGTTAAATGGCTGGCATAGTTTTAAATTGCCAAATTTTAATGTTCCACAACATAATGACGCTCAATTTACTATAATTGCATGAAATATAAATAAATAAAATATTATATTTTTTCTGAGCGTAATGTACGAAAAAATATTGTATTTCATTACAAAGTCATTAATTGATAAGCATTAATGAGAGTTATTGTTGTTTGTTGTGTGTTTAACATGCTCAGTTGTGTTTTAGTTTTTTTGTTGTTGAATTTTTTTCGCTCTCTTCTTTTCAGTTTTTTGAGTACATTTTTACTTTAAAATAAAATTTAAATGGCATGGTGATTGTCTTGGTAAGGTTGATACTCAAATTTGAACTTGTATTGAAGTTTTTAGCACATTTTTGAAAAGATAAAAATTTGTTTTTGGAGACTGGCTGAGTATTTGAGTGATTATGGTTTGGAATTTTGAATATTGAGTTGCTATTTGTTGAGTCATAGTTAATTGAAGTTCAAGGTATGCTACAATATGCTTGTGAATTGCAGTGTTCCACATAAATTTTAGAATTTTTAAAAATTGAGAAGATCGAACCTATCCAAGACGGATTCCAATTTATTTCACCATTTCATTTTGTCCAGGCCATGTCTAATTTTCGAAGCTCTTTTTCCATTTCACCGTTCTAGTTACGAAGCTCGGTTCGTGTGCTGGGTGTAGTTTTGAGGTCTACAAGGATATACTAGCATCTGAATGATTTCCTTACGGCATCTTGCGCACACGAATTGTGACTAGGTACATTGCAGGATACATCAGGTCTTATGACGTACTCGTGTCTTTTGCAGAGCTTGCAAGTGGTTCGGATCCCACTATAAACTGTAGGTCTAAAGGGTGTGGTACAATAGATTATGTTCTAATTTGAATCGCAGTGCCTCCAGCCGAAAAGGCTGGGCCCTTCATACATTATTATTATTGTCCAAAATATTAAAACTGCGCCTTAATTCCTCATCACTTAGTGCGATATCGACTACATCGTTTCTTAAGCCACAACATTCAATATTCATACTCAGCTCCAAAAAAAAACTTCATATTTGTGAGAGAGATCCACTCAGTGATTTACTTTATATTTACAAACCAGTTGTTGCTTTGTTTTGCTGATGGTCAGACGGTGTTCAAAGACCTCTCACAAAATTTTTGACATTAACAACTTATTGCAAAATCGAGATTATTGCGAAATTGTGATTAAATTTACTAGATTATTATTTCTTTGAATTTAAATAGAATAGATTCAATAAGAAGCGTTAAAGAATATTCAAGTGCTGTGATTTTATCAGTTAAATTCTTCAAAAGTGCCAACAACCGACTAATTTGACAATTCCATGCTGTTAAGTGCTTTAATTCTTGATAAATTTAAAGAATCCTACAGCTTTAAAAAAGGTGTACATTAAAGTAATTCATTGAAAATTCACATTGAGACGCCACAAACATTGCATACACGTCAACAACCTACGAGAGTCGAGAGAGATAAAAGAGAAGAGAGAATAAAGAAGAAGACCATGAAAAGCATCATAATAATTTTCTGTATCTATATATCAATCGCACAAGCACTGGATAATGGCTTGGCAAAAACACCGGTAAGTAATTCAATTGTTGATGCGCGTTCCTACCTTAATTGCCCGCCATTATTTGGGTTGTAATCAATTAAGTAATTTTGCTGTTTGTACGAAAACATAAAAGAGAGTAAATAAATTGATTTAATTGCGAAAATTTCTCTGGTCTTGATTACGACAGACGAACAGTGGTGATAAAGCTTTGAGAATAAAATTTGTCAGAATTTTTGGATGTTGGGATTCTTTCTCAAGTGAACCTTACTCCAGGTACCTCTAGAAACTGATACTCGGTTCCACGTCAGCCTTTCACTAGCCCAAAAGCATTTTGTTTTGCCTATTCTATGCCGTACGCAATTCAGAACATACCAAAGCACTCCAATCAATCAAGACAACTTTAGGATTTCCGCAATATATTAACTTCCAATTCTAATTCAAAATCTTAGCCATAAAACTATAAATTAAAGTCATTATTTCCACATAAAACCCATTACCCCCAAACCAAGAAAAATCAAAGACTCTGACAAAATAATACCAAAGAATCACGCCAGCATGTAAGAACATTGAAATATAAATTTTCCTCGATTTTTATAGCCAATGGGCTGGATGAGTTGGGAACGTTTTCGCTGTATAACAGATTGTGATAAATATCCTGATGAATGCATTAGCGAGCGACTAATTATGGAAATGGCCGATATAATGGTGAAGGATGGGTGAGTACAAATTACAATTAGCAATCCTTACGGTAAATATTTGCCGATGAGACTCTTAATGTATCAGGAAATTGTGGATATAATATATATTTTACAGTTATCTCGATGCTGGTTACGAGTATGTTAATATCGATGACTGTTGGAGTGAATTAGAAAGAGAAGACGGCAAAATTGTTGCTGATAAGAAGCGATTCCCAAGAGGAATCAAATTTTTATCTGATTATGTAGGTTGAACCTGTCATAGCTTGTTATCAAGACTATATTAATTTATCATCCATTAAGGTTCACTCGAAAGGTCTCAAGTTTGGCACATACCTCGATTATGGAACAAAAACATGTGCCGGATATCCAGGATCACTCGAATATTTGGAAACAGATGCACAATCATTAGCTGATTGGAACGTTGACTTCATAAAGATGGATGGATGCAATGTCGACACGGAGAAAATGGTTGATGGATATATTGAGTTCGGAAGACTGATGAATGCCACCGGCAGACCTATTGTGTATTGTTTATTGATGAAATTTCATTAAAATTGTGTCTACAAAAATGTTTTTTTCCTCCTCAGATATTCATGCTCATGGCCAGCATATTTTGAATTTTACCGAAAGCCCACAATGATCCCAGACTATGAAGTTCTGAAAAAGACATGCAATTTATGGCGTAATTGGAAGGATATTGAAGACTCATATGAGTCAATGCTGTTTACGGCTGATTATTTTGCAGAGCATGCAGACCGCGTTTCACCACATGCTGGTCCAGGTCATTGGAATGATCCAGACACGTTGCTATTAGGGAATTTCGGACTAACTTATGAACAGAGTAAAGCACAACTTGCTATATGGGCTATTATTGCTTCGCCATTCCTTCTTTCAACAGATTTGCGTACCATCACGCCGGAAATTAAAGAGCTTTTATTAAATCGTGAGATAATCGCAATAGACCAAGATCCACTTGGCATACAAGGAAAGCAATTAAAGAAAGGCTACGGAATAGAAGTTTGGGTACGTCCCGTTTTACCAAGAATCGGAAATGAGTATTCTTATGCCGTTGCTTTCGTATCAAGACGAACAGATGGTCATGGATATGCCTTCCCATACACATTGGCAGATCTCGAATTGAAAAATAAGAACGGCTACATTGTTAAAGACTTGTTCAATTTAAAGCGTAGCACATTTGAAATGCAAGAAAATGATATGACTGAGGAACGAGTTAATCCAACTGGTGCCAATTTCTATAAATTCACTCCAATTGAAAATAATCGAGAGTTGTAATTTCCATATAGATTGAAAATTGAAAAATGCCTCCCGGTACGAGAATCATTTAAATATAATTTTATAGAATAAAAGCAAGGTCTTTTTTGCAAAAATGAGATATAAGAAGTAAATTAGAACATAATAGCCATTGGCATGAATTGCAGATGTTGCTTCGTATTCTGTTTCAGATGTTGGACGATTTTGTGTGCTTATTTTGCATTGATAGTTGAGTATGTATGAGGTAATGTGGACAGAGTTTTAAGATTGTGGGTGCTGGAGGGGGTTTAAGTGATTGGATTGTTGGATGTGATTGACTTTGAAGAGTTTGTGGGTTTTGTTCTTAACTGCTGGTTGCCTTTTTGTAAGAAAAACGTTAAAGTTATTAAAAACTTTAATTGCTTTAACTTTTGAAGCTTATGATTGGTTTACAGCCCTTACTATAGTCTCTGTTGCTTATGTTTTCTTCGAGGACATAACAGTAATAAGCTATTTCTTGATATCTACCGAGATTCTAGCTCAGAATCACAGAACTCATCAGTAAGTGCATCATAACCTCAATACATAGGAATTTCCATAAAAACCTTTATCCAATCCACTTCAAAAATCTCAATCAGCTTCTCAAAATCATATATTCCTCAACAACATCCTCAAAAATTCCCATACAGACCTAGATTCACAAAAATCTTCATGAATTTTTAATTGAAATAAAGTTATTGAATTATTAAGCAACTTTCGTACGTGTCTATCCAGGCCTCATTGTTTATACTTCATCATAAATAAGTGAAGAGATTTTTGCAGCAGACAATTGAGGTTTTGTTTATGAAATATGTGGCATAATTTCATGTCCCGTGGGAATGACAAAGTTTATTGTTTAAAGTTTTCTTAGATTTTTTTGTGTCGAAATTTAACTTCGATTTTTAAGGTACCTAAATCAATATTTGTTTGGAAATTACGTGAGTTTTAACAAGTTGAAAAGTTTTAAAATTTTTGTATATAAAATTGATAAAAATCTTGATTCGACTTCGAGATCTACTATTCACTTAACATTTGTTTAAATTAATAATGTGAAAATCATTAACAGCATTTAATGTAAAATGCAAGGAAAATGATTAAACTAAATTCCAACTATTTAGCTGTCATTAGTAATCAAGATGCGGTTTTAATGATTTTATTTATATATATTTTTTCAAGATTTGGCTGCAAATTTTTAAATTCAAATTTTCAATGTTCAAAATTTTCAAAAATTTTTTGGAAGTAATTAATTGAAATTTAGACTTAATTATGTGATATCCTCAATAATATTAAACAAACCTCAAACTGCATGAATCACTCAAAGCATCATCCAATTTTAGATACTTCCATTCATTCGTCATACTTCTTATCTACTAAACGAAACGTAATCTAACATTGCCCCAGCACGTTTTACCAGATAAATTAACGTGCATTACATGCACACCTATATGCATCTCCATTCGTTAGTGTGGATATAAAATAACAAAACAGTTATCAAAGATTAATATGTGCAGAATAACAACGACATTAAAATCATGTTTTCAGAGAAGTTCTAATGATTTTTTGTGTATATGGAGATTCATGAGAGATGATTACGACTGAAAAAAGCACCAAAAAATTCACACGAAATGGAAGTAATTCCCGCATGACAATGAAATATTAGTGCAGGTGATTTATGTTTGTTTTAGTTACAGACTTTATCTTGATGAACATCTGAATATAAAAATCTTGCAAATTCGATTCAAAAATTCAGTAACTAATCAGCACAGTTACAGTAGACAGTCTATTAGAACTAGAATCATGAAAACTATTCAATTATTTTTGGTAACCATTTGTGTAGCTGTTGCCGTTTCCCATCCAGGCGGTGGACACGATGAGAAGTTCAAAGAAAAACATAAGAAAATGATGGAATGTCATGAGCAGACCAAAGCTTTAGGTCAATGCTGTGAATTCCCGAAACCAAAAGAAGAAGAATCAGAATGCAAAACAGAACATTTAATGGGCATTGAAACAAAAGAAAAGAAGGAACAAGGAAAGGCCTTTATGTGCTTCATGGATTGTGAATTTAAATCCAAAGGATTCATTGAAGGCAAGGAAGTTAAATGGGACAAGATTAAGGAATACGGTGAAGCTCATAAGGAAGACGCACCTGGTTTTGATGAAGTTGGAAACTCTGCTCTTGAGTTCTGTGAAAAGACTTGTAAGTATTAAGTTATCATGATTCAGGCACTGATTTCGTGTGCTTTAGGAACTTTTTGGCAAATCCTTATGAGTTAAAGTGATAACATTTTGTTAAATTTATTAAAATTTCCAGTCAATGAAAAAATGGAGAAATTCAAGAATATGAAGCACGACAAACCACCAAAAGATAAGGAAGACAAGGACGGCAAAGATGGAAAGCATTGTGGTTTCATGGCTGTTGGTATTACTGGATGCTTGGGAGGCTACGTTACAAGAGTAAGTTCAACACAAGTCGATTTTACTTGTCAAAAACTTTTACAATTATTTTTTACCTCAATCTAGAACTGTCCTGATGATAAGTGGAAGAACAGTAAGTTGGAAATGACACTTCATTAAAGTTTTGAAACAATTTTTAAATGAGCTTCTTTTTAATAGCTGACGAGTGTAATGCCGTTAAAGCAAATTCTACATCCATTGAGGAGTGCATGGCTTAAGTTAATATTGATGCAACTTGCCATTTTGCTGTTGAGGCTTGAAAAAAATTAACTAAAAGCACGAGAAAATCATATTATAGAGGAACAGCTATGTATGAAAATAAAACATAAAAATCTACGAGAATAAAAGAGTTAAAAAAATTTATTAATCATCAGCACGTAAAGGAAATAATATTTATGCATGTCTATGACTGTAAATGCATGTTTTGTTCACTTCCATGCATGCTATACTTATTTATTTTTTTCAAGATCAATGTCTATATTCGGCATATGGAAAATTGTTTCTTTTTATTCCACAGTATTTTTTTTGTAAACAAAACATTCAACATTTGCCATAGCATGTGCTTGTCACTTCCAATTCAACATTCCAAGCTATTTCCAATGTTCCAATGCAACATAAATGAAACAACGGAAAATGAAATTTCAATCGTTTCAAGAAGTTCCATCCTTGCCTTTCAGTTCAGATTTGAATTGCGTCGTGTACGGTTGTCTATACGTGTACGAAGACAGACACAATTCGGTTCAATCGCACAATATAAATGAGAATAAAAGAAAATATATTATTTTATGTTAGGTTCCGAAATTTTTTTAGGAAGAAGTGATTAATTACTTGATACCGAACGGATTATTACTGACATAAATCATTTATGCTGTATCATTTTTTGTGTGCCGTGTGTGAAAGGAATATGACAGTTTTAAAGAAGTGTCAGAAATCTTGGATGTTTATTGATTAAAATTTCTCAAATTACTTCCTGAAAGGATAGGAAAAATTAGCACAAGGCAGATGTGTGAATGATAACTTGTATTGGATATAAATTTGTTATAAAAAGTGAAGAAAAATTTTGTAGAACTTTAAAATTTAAATTTGTGAATTTGCGAAAACAACTTTAAAATTTACAAAGTTTTGTGAGTGCAAAAAATTGAGACAACAAAAATATCTGCAAGACATAAATCAGATCTGCATGAAATCGAGCATAAAATTTGCAATTCAGATCACAATATTTGTGTTAAATTTGAATATTCAGTTCTGAGGATTTATGTTTTTAAAATCTGACTGAACTAAATGGACTCGAAAAAAAACACAGATGCAGTGCTGAATCAAATGCGAAATAAATTGATGTTGTGAAAAAAATTGAATTTGTTAAAAAAAATTGCAAAATATTGGATTTGTAATAATTTTGCAAAATATTGAATTTTAACGAATTTAGTAAGATAAAAGAAATTTGAAAAAATCAAATTGATTGAAATTAAAATAATTAAAAATTACAATTCAAATAAAATTACAAAAAGTTGAAATTTTATTGAAAATTAAAAAAATTCTGAAATTTAAAAAATTCGAAAAGTTCTGAAAGTTTAAAAATTCAAAAAATTTAAAATGAACTGACATTAAAAAATCGAATTCAAATTAAAATTGTGAATAAATTATTGAAATTTTAAAAGTTAAAAATATTTCAAAATTCATTGTTATTACTGAAAATATTGAAAAAGCGATACGACAAAAAATTTCTTAAAAATTGATAACATTGCAATTTTTAAAGTGAAAAAATTATTCGTAAATTTGTTTTATCAAATACGAAATAATCAGTAAAAGTGCTCAAGAATTGAATTGAAATTCTGCAAAATATTTGACAAAAATTAGAAAATTTCAAAAACTTCAAGGAATTCAAAAAATTTAAATTTTAAAAATTTGACGATAACACAAAGATTATTGAAAATCGCACAAAACAAAGTTCCTCGTTGAATCATTTAATTCAAAAATAATTCAAAATTCTCCAGTTTTTAAAAAATTACCACTCATTTGCAAACACAGCGCGAAAACAAAAATCTATAAATATAAGTGGGTAGTGCTAAAATCACAACGAATAGATAATTTTCACAATTTATCAATATATCCCTCTGTTGATATTTATACACCCATCATTCATAATAGTGTTCATATTGTTGAAAGATAAATAAATCAAAGCATATTTGATATTTGATAAGAAAGTCACAAACATAACAAAAAATATAAAAAAAGGTGAAATAATAAAATATTTTTTTTTGTGAATTATTGATAAGATAGTGTAACATAATAGCAGAGAATATTGCAGTTTATTGTGGAATATAAAAATTAGGTGAAGTGTGCGCCAAGCTGGAATATAAAAAAAAGAGTTTTTCTCATTAAAAAAGGTAAATACCTGGAAGTGAAATTTTCGGATATGAACAAAAGGAATTTAAAGAACAAAAGCTACCAGTAACATTCATTAGCTTCATCTTGTTTGTCTTCAAGGATTTCTTTATGTCAATTTCTATAGCTGTTCCTCTTTTTCTTCCTCCCTTCGTCGTTCCTTTATTCATTTCAATTATTATCATCGCATCGTTCCACATATTATGTTATAAAGGCATAGAATTATTTTTGTGTGTGGTGTGTAACTGAAAAGAGAGTGAAAAAAAATTTACCAGGTGTGCCTGAATCATTCATATACGCATTTCATTAATATAAATTTATGTTCCTTTTATGTTGACATAATTGAAGGAAAGAGAGAATGGAACTGAAAGAATGATTTGCTCTGTGTAGATCTGTGCCTGTTAATTTCTTTCAATATTATCATTATGAGGCATGATGACGGAAGATGAAATGTAAATTATTAATTCTCTTCTGCTTCATAATGATTCATGTTGTGAATTTTTTATGTGAATTATTCTACTTTTTTTTTGTGGAGGAATTAAATTATTATTCTTGTGGTTGATGAGTTTTTTGAGGATGGTGATGAGTTCTGATTGTGTGTGGGGGGTTGATGAGGTTTTTTTTGATAGGGCTCTGAATTGTTAATCCAGGATCTAAATGATTTTTCTCATCAATTCTAAAGTTAAATGTTCCGAATGGACCAAAAATTCAACCGGAACCTTCAAAATTTTGATTTTAAAAAATCATAAAAATCCAATAATCTACATCAGATTCTCAGTTTTAAACCCAGAGCCTCAAACTTAATAAATCTTCTTCAAAACTTCCATCTTCTCCTCTCCTCCTTAATTTACTTCCCTTTCATATTATTCAATTAGAAATTCACATTGCATAAAATAAAAAAAAATTGTCTAATGAAATGAAGAAACTTAAAATTATTCAATCTCGTCTCAAACTTCATAATTGAATTGAAAAAAGAGAGAACAAAAAAATTGCAGCACAGCAATAAAAATAATAAAAATATTGTGCATGACCTAATGTTATTCTGTACAACTGCAACTTAGTTTTACATTAAATTGTGTGTCAAAATGTTGCAAATAAGGAGAAAAAAAAGTAACTTTTTGTGTGCCTGTCTAGCAGTGAAATTGAAATAAATGAATAAAAAAATCAGTCGACTGTGTGACTATTGAAGGGTGCAATTTCTATTCATAAATGGAAGTATTCAAGTAAATGAGACATTTGTTTGAGGGTAACGGAAGTGCATTTCGATGAATTATGGTTTTAATAGGGCAGTTGTTGTTTTTATGAATGGTTAAAATTAAAATAAATAAATTAATTAAAATAAAAAAAAAAAAAATGGTATTTAGGGTTTTATGGATGTTGTAGATTTTTATTATGTGAATTTTTATTTTATGAATATTTTATGAAATTAGAGTTCATTGATCAAATAATTGATGAATTGGTTTTTGAGCAGATTTTACTAATCTTCAAGGTTTTCTAAAGTTCAATTTCTCAGCCAAGCATCAAATTGTCTACAATTCTCACTCCTTTTCTTAACCAAAGTTTTAAAATTAATTCATGTGCAATTTGCGTCTCAAACTATTTTCATTCGTACTTCTTTCTCTCGACTGTTATTATTATTACTTTTTGTTGGCGAATGATTATTTCTTCACATTTAAAGAGTCTTAAAACCAGTTTTTTGAATTCAATATTCCTTTTTGTACTATTTAAAATTACTATAATTTTCAAATCGCTCGCTATTTAAATACATTAAGTATTACATTGTGCGGTTTTCGTGAATTCTTTGCATGCTCTCGATTTCTTTCGCATTTCGTCTGTTCCTTCATTCTTTACGCCTTTTTTTATTCATTACACATACATAATGTGCTCGAGTCAGAATGATGTTGATGACCAAGATTCATCAAAATTCAGCAAGAAGAAAGCAAACAAGTTGAATGAAAAAGAAGAAGAAATGGAAGAAATTAATGAATGAGAAGACTGTTTATCTTTTACTTCTGTTGTTTGCTGTACAACAAGGGAATGTGAATTAGATTTGGATGAATGGAATATTTATGGATTCTAGACTGAATGTTCTGAATGGGATTACGAGTGTCTAACTTGTTACGCATTTTTGTGATGAATTTTTTGAAGAAAATCGACTTACAATTGGAATTATTGGATAATCTTATTGAAGAGTTTCTTAAGAATTCTGACAATAAGGTTGTATAATCCCTATAAGAATGCTATAAATCTACAATATTCTTACAATTTCTCAGAAGTGTCTTAACATTTTCTGTCAAAGTTCCCACAACTTGCCTTCCCCACATATCTCCACAGATTCTCCAACAAAGCAATTTCCTCAACATCATTCGCGAAATCAAATCTAATAGCACATAAAAAGCCACACTCTAGTCATCAGAATCACACTCATTGTACCTATTGTGTTGGGGCAATTTATTTAACAATGATTAGAAAGACTTTTTGATTTCAGACTATTTTTTAACACTTTCGAATTGATAATTTCACAGTTGGGACCCATTAATTTTCTTCACATGTGTCATGAGGTTATTTCGATTCATTTTTCATCAATCTTCTTATTTGAATGGTAATTGTGAATGAAATGGTGCTTGGGGATCAGATTTTGGTTGGTTTTGAGATGGATGTTTGGTTGCTGGGGGCTTAAACAGCTTGGTGAATTAAAAAACTTTGGAAATTCACAAAAATTGTCTATCTGTTCACCTTTTCCATCTAGGATCAATTGATTTTGGCTTTAAATGGTTCAGAATTTCTGTATCCTAAGAATCTGAAGAGTTAAAGACATCTTGAGCTATATTTAATTCCCTACAACATCAACAAAAGCCAAACACTTAATATAATCTAATTAACACCATTCTAACCTCAAAAACCAACCGCAATCCACTCAAGTTCTTCAAAATTCACACTTATTCCATCCCTTGACACATTTCTATAAACAAAAAATATCCCATCAACTCCATGTTCCATCCACAATCAAACTTCATCTTCTACAAACTTTCTCAAAACACTTCAAATCTACCATCAGCAAACATCAGCGACTAAGCGATAAGTGTACAGTATGGAACAAGAACATCATTCATTCATTCATTCCGAAAATCTTTGCGAAAAAAGTAAAGTTTTAGTGCTTAAACTGTCATTTTCAGATGATTACAAACAAATGAAATGAGAAAGCATGAATATTCGTGAAATTTCTTAAGGAAGAGTCATTCATAAATGATGTGTAGCTTGGGGGTCTAAACATTTGTGATGGTCTTTGTAAATGAGTTTTGAGGATTGAAGATCTGTTAACAAAAGGAGAGAAATCTTAAGACGTAAATTACAAACTACCCCCAAATATTCTGTGCTCTTTACATCATTTCCATTTCACTTGAACGATGAGTAAGACGAAAAATTGTGATTAATTTTTTTTCTTTACTTTTTTTTGTTTGCCTCGTCTTTGTGGTGCAAAAAGAGAAAGAAGACGAAGATAACAACGATGAACGACCGCGAAAAAATAGCGACATGAATTATATTTCTTGTCTCTTTTTTGCTTTAAAATTTGGAACTTCATATTTATCATATTCAAAGACTTTTGATGATTTTGTACAAAAGACCGATTCCGAGATGAGATTTGCACGATCAATACGATTGCTGTTTTCTTCTTTCATTATTTATTTCATTGCGAGATAAAAAAAAGAGCAGAGATTTTTGAATGCCACAATCATGATTTAGTGAAGTGTGGTGAGATAGTTGTGTGAATTAAAATGAAGCACAAGTTGGGATGGGGGAGATTATGAGTATGAATTGTGATGACAGGTACGCATTTAGATGTCATGTGAAGGTGGTGTGAAGTGGATTAGATGAAATTTTGTTGAAATTTGAGCGATTTTAATTAGTTTTGAAGTGGAGATCGGAACCGTTCGAAACCACACCGACAAAATGCCAATTCTACTTCATCACATTTTTTTCCCAGCTTAATCTAAAGCATTTCTTAAGATCACAATAAATACAAACCAAAGTCAAACTCGAGCTGAAAAAAAATCGAGTGGGCCACAAATGGCTATCTTTCTTTCAATCCCATTCCATACGTTATTGAATAAAGATGAGGCACAGCAGTGCTATCAATATCGCATAAAGCAATCGCTGTGCTTTTGCAAAAAAAATACGTAAATTCAATAAAAATTGATTTTTCTGAGACAATAACATTACATGCACAATATAATCAGTCAGACATAGGCAGACATCCAGGGCAGCATCACATGAAACATGTTTTTTCAATTAGACATAAAAGAGGCTTTTTTAATCTTAATTTCGCTATGCCCCTTTCTCTCTCACACACAGTCTTTCAATTCTGTGCTGCGCTCAACAAAAAATAACAATAAGAAAACAAAAAGAGAAGATGATGGCAATCAGGCACATTTAGTGTCTGTTTATAAAGAATTAAAAGGCACAAAGCCGACACTTTACAGCGATCACACAATATTGAATTGTTTGGTGTCTTAAAAAATATTGTTTGATAACTTTCGTGTTGCTTGAATGGATCGGAAGGTCAGTGAGACAAGAAATTTGAGTATTTTTTTTTGCACAATCATTACACCTCATAAGCTACTCACAAAACAGTTGATCTTATGAATGCAGCAATTCATTTAATGAATGTCAATCATATTCATTACAATCTCTTAGTCGAGGTATTATGTCAATCGAATATGCACGATATGCGTTCACTGTTATAAATATCTTTATGCCATATATATTATGGATCGTATTTCAAATCAACAATGCACATGTGAGCTCGACACAAAAAAAAATTTAAAATAATATCATGCGGGGATGTGACTGAATGTTGAGTCACAAAAGGATTAAAAATTATCTTTCTATTGTCATATTTTATTATTCAACCGTTCACTTCAATGAACAATTCGACATTCATTCAAATTTATTTGTGTGGATATAAAACCATCGTGATTTATAAATTAATCTCTTCCATATT